TGGCAGTGTAATGGTCCAGAATGCTGGGCCACCCCAGTGAGTGCTCGGATCAGCCCCTGGGCAGTTTCCACCGTAGAGCATTTGGTAGGCCCTGTCATTTGGGTCTGCCCCTAACCCTAATCAGACCACATCATTTCTCTGCTTAAAAGCTTCCAGTGAGCCGGCGCCGCGGCTCACTAGGCTAATCCTCTGCCTACCAGCGCCGGCACACCGGGTTCTAGTCCCGGTTGGGGCGCCGGATTCTGTCCCAGTTGCCCCTCTTCCAGGCCAGCCCTCTGCTGTGGCCAGGGAGTGCAGTGGAGGATGGCCCAGGTGCTTGGGCCCTGCACCCCATGGGAGACCAGGAAAAGCACCTGGCTCCTGGCTCCTGCCATCGGATCAGCGTGGTGTGCCGGCCGCGGCGGCCATTGGAGGGTGAACCAACGGCAAAGGAAGACCTTTCTCTCTGTCTCTCTCTCTCACTGTCCACTCTGCCTGTCAAAAATAAATAAATAAATAAATAAATTTAAAAAAAGCTTCCAGTGGCTGCCCATCCAGATTACTCACACCGGCTTGCACTGTGCTGTCTGATCTGGGCCTCGTCCGCTGCTCTCCCCTCTCTCTGTTGCATCTTCGCTGCTGCCCGCGTGTTCTGACCACACCTTGAACGTGCCCCACTGCGCGGTCCTTTCCAACTCTGGGATTTGCTGCTCCCGCCGCCTAGGATGCCCTGTCCTGGGTGTCTGCAGGAGGAGCTCCTTCTTCCTCTTCAGCTCCCAGTTCAAGGGCTCGCTTATTGGAGACCCTTCTCTGACCTCCCGGTCTGAAGAGCGGGGTCTGCCGACACCCCCCCCCCCCAACTCTGAATTCACGTTAGCACCTTTGCCGGCTGCGTTTTCTCTGGTTCTTTGTTGCTTTGCTGTTTCTGCCACTAGAACCTGACAGCAGTGCAAAGGCTGAGCTAGTCTGTCTCATCTCTGGCCCAGCTTCCAGCCAGACGCCTGCCCCAGGGCAGGAGTCCGGTACACACTCCAGGAGCGCGTGAAGAAGCTGGTGGCGAGCTGCCGGGAGCTCAGGGTGAGGGGAGGCCCAGCCCGTGCAGGTGGCACTGTCCCCAGCGGTGCCTGGGTGAGCTTTGTTTGCCTCCTCTCGAGAGCCGCAGTGGGCCTTGGGATACGAAGGTCCTGATGTGAACCTGTCCGCAGCCTTGGTGCTCCCTGACCGCTTCCTTTCCTAGTACCTAGAGCTTCTGGCATTTGTGGACTCTGACTGGGGCAGCTCAGACAGACAGAGCTCCATTCGCATAGAGAGGTAGACGGTGTGCATGCAAAAGCCGAGTAGATGTTTTACTTCAGCAAAACCATTGAAATCCCAGCTTGGGAGATAGAGTAAGGTTGAAAAAGCCCTGGACTCAGCCCTGGGAAACCTGCCTTGTGCCACGTCTGCCGCTGACTGGATCTAGGATGTGGTGGACATGTTGTCCTCTGAGCAAAGGCGTTGTGGTGCGAGGCCAGGTCGTCTCACAGCGCCCAGTCTTTGTGCAGCCGTGCACGTGAGAAGGCGGCGCTCTGGGGAAGGCACTAGGGCCCGGCGAGAGCGGGAACAGCTCTGTTTGCAGTTTTGCCTGAGTTGGGTTAACCGGCCCTCAGCAGTGCTTTGTTCTGAGATCTGCCACATGGATGGTGACAGTAGGCCCAGTGGAACACACAACCTGCTGACAGGGGCAGTGTGAGTAGAGGCTGTGGGGACTAAAGTACCCTGCCAGCAGGGTAGGACTGGAAAAGCCAGAGGAGCGCCCTTTAACGTGGGCTACCAATAAGGCATTACACGAACCTCCTTAGCTGGGCGGTTCCTGCACGTGATTGATTGGAATTCCAAAGCCCTGCCAAGGACCCACTCTCTGCAGAATCCGCTTTACCCGCTTTAGCCTTAGCTCCAGGCCCGTGTGGCACTTGTCCTGATGAGGACTCGTCATTTACGGGCCACTTTTTAGAACTTCTAAAATGAGATTTGGGTGTTAGAAGGTGCTTTAAGTCCCCAGCACAGTTTCTAGAACATAACTTGAACCTGGTTTCTCAGCTGGTTTTCAACAACGTAAAAGCCGTCTGGGCCCTGGCCAGTGCAAAAAGGAGAGCCCCACAGTGTCGCCCGCGCCTGCCCCTGCATAGCACCGTCCAGGGGCAGGCAGGGCACTGTCGACTCGCCCTCGTTTCCCTGTTCAGGCTCCCCAGAGAGGAAAGGCGGACAAGAGCCTCCTGGAGCACCGCGGCGGCAGCAGGCGGCGGTGTGTGCAGCCGCTTCTCTGTGGTGCAGCCTCTGCTGCTGCCTCTGCGGCTCAGCGCGCCCCAGCCGGGACGTGCTTTGGGCCCGTGGCTCTTAACAGCAGCTCCTGATTCTGCCAAGGCACCCAGGGCACAGGAAGTAGTTTTAGTTTGACAGTCTCTGGCTATATGGTAGATTGCCTCATGGGGCAGATAAAAGGAGAATCCGTAAAACCTTGAACTGTGATGACACTGAACATGATCTGCTCTTCGTGCCGCTTTGAGGAGTGGGGTGGTGAGAAGCCGTTGCAGCTCCGTCACTGCTAACACACAAAGGTTTGCTCATCAGAGCCCACAGTAGTACCATTTGTGAGCAGTTGTCTTTCCACTTGCCACCTTGCTTTTATAAAACAGAATGGAGTTATTTTTTAGAACAAATCAGCAGTTAGGCAGAATGTTCCCTTTTCTACAAACAGCTGCAGTAACAGGCCAGATTGTCCTCGCTGGTGTTAATTAATTAGAACAGATTTTAGAATGTGTCGTCTTTCGTTACATCCATTAATGGTCCTCTGCCTTCCCAGTCTATTTCTTGAGATCTGGTGGCTTTTGTTGCATGTTATTACATCTGTTAAGTAGGTGCTGTAAGAAAATGAGGCAACTGATGCTCCTTGGATCCAGCGATTGTGTGCAGCATGTGGCGTTGGATATTGGGTTTTTTTCCTCCAGAAAATGTTTTTAAAAACATAGTTCATGTTCTTTGTCATCATTGTATCCTATGAGAGTCCTTTTATAGCAGAAATTTAGAATTATTTATTTTTAAAGATTTATTTATTTATTTGGAAGAGAAGGTAGAGAGAGAGAGAGAGACAGAAATCTTCCATCCACTGGTTCACTACCCAGATGGCCGCCATGACGAGGCCGGACCAAGCTAAAGCCAGCAACATCTGCATCTCCTACATGGGTGGCAGGGGCCTAAGCACTTGGGTCATCTTCCTCTGTCTTCCCAGGCCATTAGCGGGGAGCTGGATCGGAGGCACAGCAGCCAGGACTCGAACCAGTGCCCCTGTGGGATGCTGGTGTCGTAGGTGGCCTTGGAACTTATTTATATACATTGCCTGGGTGCATCAGACTGTGTCTGGAGACAGCTGCAGTGCTACCTGCCACTTCCTGTAGCTCCCCTCACCACAGCCCATGCCCCCGCCCCGCCTCTCAGCTCCTTCTGGGACTCTGTTCGTTAGATATTTCCCTGACTCTGCCACCAAGCCTGAGGCAGCAAAGGGGAGCTGGAGTGATTGAGTCATTTCATGGGTTTAACAGAAAACCAAGGCACGGGCCCTAACTGGGGCTATTTGTGAAATTTAGATCTCTTTGTATTCAGAAATGGAATGAATTTGTTCCTGAAGTGACAGAGTGAAGCGTGTCTTTTCATTGTCAGCCGACACCCAGCCATAACTGCTCTTCCTGCAGAAAGGAGTCGAGCGCTGGCCATGTGGAGAGGCGGGCTGAGGCAGGACAGGCACCAGGCTTCCCCGACGCCGTCTGGGCCCGCCACACGTTTGCTCCACAGAAACACTTGGCAAAACAAAGCTGGTAGTGGGGGAAAACTGTTTCTTTGAAATGTGATTGGCACCTGTCAGTATGTGAACATTAAGATTGCAGCTGCCTTTTCTCTAGAGAGTTTTAGACTCTGACTCCACAACAGACACGCCGCCGCCCCCAGCTCCTGCTGTCTGAAGTGTAGCTGGAAGCACTGCTGAAGGCGTGTGATGGGAAAGGGAGTGGTTGCTTGGTTGGGAAGCAGCATTCTGTAAGGGGGTGGGGGCTCCCGTGTGGAAACAAACGCTGCCTTCGGTTACGGTGGGCTCTGCACAACAGAGGCCCTCAGAGCTCAGTGTGCGGGGTGTGGGGAGCCAGAAATGCTGCCTCATGAAGTGAGTCCCACCTAACAAGGTGGTACCCCGCACGTCAGAGGTCGCAGATGTGGGGTAATGCCAGTGGGCCCCACTTCTTAGAAACTTCTGCCTGGAGAATAGAATCCTGAAAAGAGCAGAAGAGAAATGCTTGTTCTTCAGCTGAAGGCAAAGCACCCTCATTTGTTAAGGTGCACAGCACAGCGGGGTCTGGCCTCTGGTCTTTCTCCCAGGACATGAAATCCATGCTCCCTGGAGAGGATTGGTAATGTACTGCCCACGGGAATCTGGGGAAATAGAATTCTTGGGCTTGAAGAAAAAGTTGAACATTTAAAGGACTTAAGTCCACTGCAGGAGAATATGAGAGTATGTGAAGAGCAGAAGAGATTGCACGTGGAGTATGTCCCGCACTGGACGGAGTCTAGGGGGCTATGGGAACGTTGTTCAGAACGTCAGCCCAGTGCCGGTACACACGGGGCATGTGTTGACAGAGTGACTGCATGGTTGCCCCGTAGCAGAACAGCATCCTGACAGTGCAGGGTTGTCATCACAGGACAGTCAGGGGGAGAACGCGTCATCATCTGTGACCTTTTAAATACAGAAAAACAGGAAAGATTCTTGCAAGGAGGAGCAGCCCGATTGTATGTAGGCTCTTCAGTGCCTTTCAGGTCTCTTCTCCGTGTTGGTTTCCTGATGGACTAGGACTTAGATATTGAGACCTTTTCCTCATTATCTTTGTTTATTCTAGTTTGAAGTCCTATCATAGGAAAATGGGGAATGGTGAGTTAAGGCAGATGGTAGATGTTGACTAAAACTTCACAGGAAGCGTGACTGCAGCCACGCCCAGAGTGCCCTGTGAAGGAGAAATGTGAGCACTTGAAGATATTTGATAGTGGATACTTTGGATGCTGTGGAATTCATTGAATTTGATAATTTTGACACGTATGACTTTATAAAATCAAGTTATTGAAAATTATTCCTTTTTTCATAGTTAGATTGAGTCTTGACATTTTGATATCTTAGAAAGGATTTTATGGTAGTATTCTTGATAGCATGTGTGTTTATGAAAATAACTTTTAAACATGTTTATGGGAGCTATCACCTCTTTTAATTTCCTTATGTTAGAGGTAAGAAAGACCAGAGATGATGTTGCAGCACCATAAATGTAATATTAAAATAGCTGTTTCCTGCCCACAGATGATGAGGATGGTATGGACTGCATGGACAATGAGAGGCGGCCGCATTTCCCTCAGTTTTCCTACTCTGCAAGTGGACGGGAATAAGTTCCTTTCATTCCGCTACTTCACTGTCATCTTAGATTTATTACCGAAAATGATTCTCGGACATCACCACCAGTCCTAGCTCTTAAAGACAGCAGGGGGCACCTTCCGACATCCCAGACTGGTCAAGGGTCTTCACCCCTCGCCACCTTTCACCCACAGAGAACACATAGACGCAAACACACTCCAGTTTTTGTTTTTGCATGAAATTGTATCTCAGTCTAAGGTCTCATGCTGTTGCTGCTATTGTCTTAATATTATAGCAACTTTAAGAAGTAATTTTACAATCTTTGGAAGTCATGAGCCCACCATGTTCATTTGTGCACCAGTCGTCATCTTTTATCTTTTAGTTTTTGTTTTTCCCCTAACAGTGAAGGCTAAATGAGATACGCTGATTTAGGTACATTTTTTTAACTTTCTAGAAGATAAATCAAAAACTAATTAGACTAAGAAGAATTAGTTTGTAATTCCGAGCAAGCACCTGTGGAAGGGTGGTGATGTGCAGGTGGAGAGCTTGTGGAGCGCACATCAGATGAATGCACACCGTAGGTGCTGCATCACTGAGACCGGGCTGGGACTCGCAGGAAGCACTGAGGGAAGGATGAACAACTGCTGAGACACAGATGCTATTTTTTTTTTTTTAAATTCTTGTCGGACACTGCAGAGGAAGCCCAGTATCACACGTGGACATCCAGACTTCACGGGCAATCATGGGCAGATGAACATTGCTGCACCGAGAGATGAAGGTATTTACGCAGAGTCATGTAAAGGGTCTTAGGATACAGTTTGCGCCAGAGAGCATTTTTTCCCCTGTGCTTGGAAACCTTTTTCCCTTCTTGATAATTATCACCTCTGATGGCTGAAGAATGTAGACAGATACAGTGATCCTGCTTCTCACCAAAATTTGTTCACCAAGGTAAACAGTGTTTGCCTTACTAGTTTTCATTTTTTACTTTCAGTTCTACGTGAATTAGTCTTTTCTCAAACGTTAAAACTTTGAATGTCCTTTTATGATTTTGTTTATATTGCAGTAGTATTTATTTTTTAGTGATGAGAATTGTATGTCATGTTAGCAAATGCAGCTCCAACTTATATAAAATAGACTTACTGCAGTTTCTTTTGACCCATGTGCAAGGAATGTACATGCCAATGAGAATCAAATGCACTTTTTCTCCAGTGTTTAAAGAAAATGATATGGCTCTGAAGTTACATATTGGTTAGAATTGGTCTTTGGGAGAAGAGATGCTATCATTTGACCCCTGGGTGCTGAAAATTAGAAAATCCATGCCAAGGGGTTAATGAAACAAGTAGATCTTGATGATTACTCACTGAAGAACTGAAGTGTTATGATGGCCTGGCAACATAATGCAATGGAGAAAATTAAGACCTGAATGATAAGAAATGAACTTTCCTTGGCAAAATGAACACATCTTGAATATTCACTAAGTAGGCAGTAAAGGATTAGAACCTGTTGTGTTTATTCTGATCATGGTACATTTATCACTCAATTAAGCCATCAGGGAAAACAAAACAAAACAACACCTCCAGCTTTTCTTTTTCTGTATATATTCATGTCCCCAGATTCCAACATTTCTCACTGAAAGGGGACATGTATGCAAACCTCATCTTTCTCCTTCATTAATGATGATCTTCAGATTCAACCCTTTGGTGCTAGGAGCTGACATTTTCCAAAGCAGCCTGTGAAGTCCAAGGGGCTGGGGGCATTCCTGTGGCAAGCAGGAGGCCACCCCACTCCATGGAGTGATCATGGAGATGTACTTCAGTTAATCTGACAGCTCCCAAACGGAAGACTACAGCGTGACACAGTGTTATGATTGCGTTGCATGCAAGAGCAAGTGACTCTCTCAGTAGGATGAATCAGATTCACAATGCAGATGTCTTAGCCTCTTGACGCTAGAAGTGTGGCTTTACAGCTCTGAAACCACTGCTGGCGGTGGGTGGGCCTCTGGCACTGATGGGGGATTAAAGGGCATTTTACTAAGGCAGCTAAGACATATTCAGACATAGGTTTTATAATTTTTCATATTTCTACCTAAGTAGAGTTCATCCTTGGTATTGAGTAGGAAGCTACAGTAAATGGTAGTTCACTCTTACACATTTAGCTTGACCTTTTTTCCCCCCAGTATGGAATTATGTTGAATGTTTCACATTGACAAGAAAGTAGGCTTGAAGGTTTGTCCTTTAAGTTGTCTTGCACCCATCATATAAGAAGGAAACAGGTGAGAAGAAGAGAAGGAAAGTGAGACTGGCTGATGTTCGGAGCATTTATTCCTTCAGAGGGAAACCGCGACACTAAAGCTCATAGCTTCCTGTGGTTTTGTTTTTTTCCCCCTAAATCTCAAGTTGATTTCCATGACCTTGGCCAAGGATACTTCCTGAAGATGAATGACAGTGCTCCAGGCTGGCTGCTACCCACAGCTGGCTTTCAGTCACACCTGGGGTTCACTCACTCAACCCTCAGATTCTGTTAGTGTCTTTCTTCTTGGGACTCCCCGATTTTCACTCCAGATCTCAGCTGGCATGGAGGAATAACAGAGGAACAGAAATGTATGTAGAGGGAGATTACTAAAACTTCCCTTGTGTTGCCCGTAGCTGTAGTTTGGGATCCTGGCAGGTAGAAGATCTGAAACCTGAAATCATCCTGTCAGAACAGAGTTCAGACTGTGCAGGCTCCGGCTCGCACTAACCATCATGCAGTTTGAACCTCTTGTCAGATACATAGCCATCTTGGAGGAAATTGGCCATTTCTGCTGGGATTGTTGGCAGAGTTGCTAATGGCTTTGCTTTCTATACACTAATTACATAGCATTATTCCAGTATTGTTTTCCATTTCCCATACTGATTTCCGGCTTCTTAAAGCTGACTGTTCATGCAGGGGCCACTTGCTTCTCCTAGAGTACAATAGTAAGGGCCTTCCTTACTAACTGCAGGGTCTATATATTACACCTCAATGTACACACTTTGCTGCTACTGTTTGTACTGTCTACAGTAGAATTTCCTTATCTTGCTCCTGGTAGTGCATTACAGGCAAGCATGAAATGTAAAGTATTTATTTAAATAAAAAAGAAAACTTCTAAATTGGTAATTGAATTACCTCCCTGTAGCTTTATAGTTTGTGACATTTCTTGACCTTGCTAGTTCTTTCCTTAGATCCGCGCAAGATCTAGTTATCTGGTTAAGGATTTTAAGCAGAAGCAACTATGAACCCAAGAAACTGTATTACTATTACTGTTGGTCATACTAAAACTGTTTATTTCCTTAAGTATATGACCCACAAGGATGTGAAATAACTACAAGAAACTGTTTTTGTACACTGTACATCCTTAGTATTTTTACACGTATATGATAGGGATGCACATTATTTTCCTTCGTACAGACAGCTTAAATAAAGCACTATGTCAATCTGCTACTTCTCTGTTTATTGTTGTTGGATGTGGTTCTGTAATCACAGAAAACTGAATCTTCCTTTCTGGAAAAGAAATTTTTAATAGCTCCCACCTGGTAATAATGTACCCCGTATACGATGTGACAGGAAAACACGTGAATTCCTTGTAGCTCAAAACACACGAGACTATTTTACTTCAGTAAAATGGCAGTAGTGCAACTGTATAAACTTTGAGGAAGGGCTGCTTCCAGAGGGGGGGCTACCAGCCCCCTTAACACTGGGTATGAGACAGCTCTGTGAGCAAGGGATGCAGTAGGGCTCACTCCAGACCTTAATCTTCATAACAAATGGTTTGAACCCAGGCTTCTTAAGGAATGTAGCTCATCATTAATGTCTTCCTGAGAATGTACTGCTCTGCACACTTCCTCTCTACAAGTGTATTTCTAACACTTCATAGCCCATTCACAAACTCAGACATGGGTTACGGAGGGGTAGGATGGCTGGCCTACAGTGTGATTTCTGTTGACTCCTTTTGGATGGGGCTTGTCTTGGATTTTACCTCAGAAAAGCTATCATAGAAACTTGCCTTCCTTTGCCCCTGTGGCTAAATCAGTGTGAGGAATGGCTTTGGGGACCAGAGTCAGTCAGGCACGCCTGTCTCTGTCACACAGCCAAATTTGAGGGCATTCTTACTTGTGTTCTTCTCTCAGAACCACTGGGGGTGACAGATCCAGGAGGCTAAAATAAAGTAACCTCTATAATTCCTTAAAGGTGCTATTTTTAGAATATTGTATAATGTATTCACAGTATACCTAAAAGAGAACCAAGGACAATTAAAATATCTTCTGTGACAGCCTTCATGTCTAGCACATTGGATGAAATGAGAAACTTCTGAATCGGAATAGAAGTTCTACTATTTCAGGCTTGAACCTTTTACATACTCGAGAGACTCAAGTGTTCTCTGTGTGTGTCTCATGCCACTGATCCTCATCGATTCCGAGAGGCAAGGCTGAACATATGGTCACATCGGATCTGTGTTGAGATGATGATGATGACTGGTGGTGGCGGCGGCTTGCTGGCTAGGGAGAACCGCCTGAGGTCGGGGACTTGTTCCAACCACAGCCTTGCCTTTAGGGTTTCATTGTCATCCTCAAACACAATGCAAAAATTTCAGCATCCATCATGTTTATTACTTTAAGCATGTGAGGGCTTAACTGTGTATAGTAGAAATACTATTTTAGATTAAAATAATGATCTGTGTACAGATATTTGATAAACTCTACGTAAATTTTCTAATTTCACTAAGTATGTTTTTAGGCTTCTCTCAAATACTGCATTATCAAGGAAAAAAAAACCTGACGCCATCAAGCCAAAGATGCTTTACTGTCAGTCTGTGTGAACAGAATGGAAAGAATAGTACATAGTGCTTCCTGGTGTCTCCTGATTGCGCACAGACGAGGATGAGGAATAATAATGGAGTCTGGCAGGATGCTAATTAAAGGCAAATAAAGGTGAAGAATGATACACAGATCACAAAAAAGGAAGAAAAGTGAATGGCAAGGAAAAAGTTTGGTCCTATACACTCTGGCCTCGGGAAAATGTGCCTTTGGGGTGCGTTTTGTTCATCACTACAAGGCAAAAAGGAAACATCATGATTCAAGTCTTTAAAAAGTTCATTTACTGAAATCCATGTGTATCACATTTCATACACATGCGCAGGTTCAGGACGCATCACGTCAAGCCTTTTCTGGAAACACACCAGGCGCTCTCCTCCGCTAGTGTCACTTCAGCTCTCTCCCTCTCTTAGGACAGGGCCAACAAACCTGGCAGTGAGGACCAGCCCGCTCGAGTCCGAGGCGGCGTCACCCCGGGAAGGTCGTGGTGCGTTGTGGCATACTAAGAACCAATCGGATGACTGTAAATACCTCTTTGTAAATCATTTATTTCACTCTGTTTCATCCAGGTCAGCAATCAGATTGTGGCATGCTGGGTAACTGGAAAAAATAATAAAAAGTAAGTTTAAATAGATCATGTTCTTCAATGTGATTTGTCTTGATCTCATTTGCTGGTTTAGTCACCTTTTATGACTTTAAAAATTTTTGGAGAAAAACATTTCTTTTGCTTTAAATGGGGAAATGATACATAACTAACATGGAACTGAACATTGTATCTCGTTTTTAACCCTAGATCAAAGCTCTCATCTAGGACGAATATGAGGTTAATGATTTTGTGTCAGGGCTTAGAATCTGAAAACCACCTGTCCTCACACATCCATGTGCCTCTGAAATCCGGGCAATCTGATGTGGGAACGTGGCCAAAGAGCCGTTTCTCTCTTCCCCTGTCCAGGAAAGGAGACACTAACTTGTGCTAGAATCGGTTTACTGAAAAGTCAGCTGACATTATGGTACATAAAAGAAGGAAAACAAGGGGTAAGAGATTTCTAGACAGAGTGTCAACTGAACTGAAACCCAGACTCTCCGCTGTGCACGGTTCATCATAGCGTGCCATTAGGAAATGACATTTTCACATGGAAACCTGGGCCATGCCAGGAGAGGGAATTTGGTGTGCTGTGGTCTCTTATTTAAAAAGGTTGCAAAACTATTTCATGCAGATTGGGCTGGGGGCAGAACCAGAAGTCAGCCTCTGCTGCTGTGGCTGTTCTGATGAGTTTAAACACCAGGAGGAAGTGACGTTCCACAAGGCGTTCCAGTCCCTCTTGGACAACACAAGCCTCCAGTGCAGGAGAGCGCCAAGGTGGTATTTTCCAAATCCCAGTTTTCACAAAAACAGATGAGGAACACAATGCAGTGGTTCCCTCGCTGGGAACCACTTTCAAGAAAAACATGGGCGTTGACACAGCCCAGCATGGTTCCCTGCACTAGAAGAACAAGGGGCTCTTGTCAACACCGCTTACGCCATGGCTAGCTGGGGATTTCCATGCCAGGACCATGAGTGAAACTGAAGTTGAAGTCAAAATTCACACAAAAGAAAGCATGAAGATAAGTGTGTTGCCTTTAAAACAAACAAACAAAAAAACCAAAACACCTAAAACCCTTATCTGAGAGAGAAAGCTGCCATCTGTTGGCTCACTCCCCCAAATGCTCTCAGTGGTCTGGTTGGGGCCGCAGTCAGGAACCCGGAACTCAGCCCAGGTCTCCCATGACCTGCACAGAACCCAGTTACTTGACTCATCACCTACTGCCTCCCAGGGTCTGCATTAGCAGGAAGCTGCAGTTGAGGAGCCGGGGGCCCCAGGTACTCTGATAGGCAATGTGGGGATTTAGCTGCTAAGTTCCAAGGCCTGTTGCCTTTTTCATTTTAAAAAACAAGGTTTCAGTTCCATTTCAACTAGATCCCACAGTGTGAGACTGCTGAGGAAGCTTGAATGGGGAAGTCCGTGTTGAAATGGTTTCAGCACAGGGTAATTGGAATACTGTGGGCGCGGCCCAACCCCACACTGTACACGTGGGGGCTACTGCGGGAGGCGCCCTTGGCACCAAGTCAACTTGTGGCATGATCAGTACAGCCGTCAGGGCTGGGCGGAGATGGAGGCCTGCCTTAGAGCACACAGGTGCACCTGCTCTCTGGGCCCTTCCCGAGCGAAGAGAACAAATGGAAGGCAACCCACTGTCTCCCCACAGCAGATCGGCTCTTGCCATCCTTGGCAGTTTTTGATGAAAAGCCCCAAGTTCAACCTTTGTTTGACATCCTAGTACTCACTCAGTGCCCCATGCCCAGGTTTCTCAGCCCCATGCCGGACATGCACCAGTCCACTGTGCTAGAACCTGCCCATGGCAAATGGGACCCCTTGGGTCCTCAGGCTGCTGCCCACTTGATGTGACCATCAAACACATGAGCTCCATGTAGAACTCACCTGCTTGCCTCTTACTCCCACCTGGGCTGGCCCAGGGCCGAGCCACCAAATGGCTCCCCTTGCCTGCCGAGTGCTGGCAGCCTGAATGCTCCCGAGATGGGGTCTCCCATTCTCCTGTGACCTCGAGTACAAGACAAGCATAGAGCACAACAGGCAGACATGAAACGAAGTCTCAGGCTGAACCTTGGTAGAAAAGATACCCGACCTGTACACCCATGATTCAGAATACAGACCTGAACTGGAACTAAGAGGTGCTGCAGTTTTTTTGTTTTGTTTTTAATCAAGCACCAAGCAACTGGCTTTGAGCCCCATCGTGCCTGTAATTTATCTTCAGACTCAGACCACTCTGCTGAAACCAGTGACCCCCCACTTCTGTGGGGCCCTGAGCTGTACCTATTTGAGGAACTCGACAGCAACAAATGGAGGGCAACCCACCCTCTCCCCTCAGATCGGCTCGTGCCGTGACAGCCAGCGCCCCCTTGGGCCCAGTCTGTAGTAAGGCACATTTCTCAGGGCTTCCCCACTCTGCTCCCCTAGGTGTGCCCAGAGATAGAGCATGGCTCACCTGCTCTGAGGCATCAGCGCTCGTGGGCCTGGTGTGCCCCACCTGCCGCTGTGCCCTCAGCCACCGCCCCCCCCCCCCCCCCGCCCAGGGGGCTGGTTCCGCGTCGCAGGGAGGGGCAGCTGACCGGCGCCCCGGCAGCTGCTGTTCTCAAACACCCCCTCCGCGAGCACGCCGCCGCTCACCCATTGTCTGCTCTCATTTTCACTCCTCACAGCCTGCTCTCCACAAACCCCTGACTTTTGTGCCTAATTTATTTCTCAAGTTTGACTTTAAGTTCCAGTTGAACAAATGAGTTGCTCGGGTGACCTGAATTGTTCCCCAGGCAACCACGCGGTGGGGGGTCCGCCTCAGCGCCTTTGTTCCCAGGCAGGCAGGGCCGGGGAGACCAAGGTTGCACCTTGTCCCGCTCTGAGCTCTCTGCCCATAGCCTCAGGCCCGTGCTGCTTCCATTTGTTTCTCTTCTCGGTATCTGCACCCAGCCCCTGGCAGCCCCTGCAGAGGCAGCCTCCTCCCTCTCGCCCTCACGGCCCTCCGGCCCTCGGTGGTTCCCAGGCACATGCCTCTCCTTGCCTGGCCCGAGGCCAGAGCTCCGGGAACCCCCCCTGCAACTCCTCCTCGCATCCTGGGAGCGAGCCTGCTGCCCAGCAACTTTCTCAGCAAGGGCCTTCTCCCCCTACCCACCAGGCTACCCAGCCCCTTCCATACAGCGCAGGGCCCAGGTCTCTCAAGATCAAGTTCCTTGCCCAGCCCTCCGTGTCACTTCACCGGGCCTTCCTGTGTGTACAGCATGAGCACTTCTTGTCTCCAGTGCCCCTCCAAGCCTTCCGAGAGCCGGGAACCCTGCTAGATTCAGAACCGTTTGTGCTGGGCTCCGGGGAACGTGAGGAACTCCCTGTTAAAGAGAAACTGGCTTTTGTTCGTTTTGCCAGAAGCCAAGTGCAGAGGAAGCGAACAAGTCGGTCTGGAGTGGCCCGGAGCTGAGGTTTGCCATCGTCACCCTGCCAGCCTCTAGGCAACCCTGGCGGTTGTGCGCCAGGCTGTGAGCGCACGCCGGAGCAGCCAGGTTTGAGATTCGTGACACTAAGAAGTCAAATTTGGAAGGCAACCTGGAGAAAACAGCCCCAGGAACCCCCAGTGGTCACAGGTGCCCAGAGAGGGTGCCCTCACGGGGCTCGGAAGAACTGTGGCCCCAGAGCTAGGATGCTCCCCTGGCGGGGGCAGTGGCGCTCCACCGAGACACAGCAGCGCTCTGCCCCGCCTCTCCCCAGCTCCAGAGGACGCTCTCGCCCCGGGGCATCGTCCCTGTCCCCGGCTCCTCCTCTGGCAGAGCTGCTGTGGGAATCTGGCCGTTGCCAGCTGCTAAGTGGGGCAGGAGTTCATGGCGAGGTCACCGCGGGCCAGCGATTCATTCTTCCCTCCTAGCTGCCCGGCTCCGCCCATCAGGACAACAAGCCCTGCAGCAGCCCAGAGCTCAAAGCCTGGTCCCCGGACCCTGGGCCTGGCCTTGCTACCCCTCAGCTCCCAGAAGGGAACAGAGCCATAGAAGCTAGAGAAATGAAAAGGCAGACACAGGGCGAGGCTGCCCCGTAGGTGAGAAAGGGCTACACGGGAAGCAGCGTCTCCAAGCCGGGCTTGGCATCTGCCATGTGACCAGGAGGCATCCCCCTGGCAGGCCAGGGACAGGGGGTCCGGCGTGTGTGGCGCCACCTCGGAGCTCACTCAGACAGGAGCGTTCCTTCTGTAACCAAGGGACCCGAGCCTGGAATCTTAGCCGAGTCCCACGAGTCAAGAGAAGGTCCTCTGCCCGTGGGCAGGTGTCTGTTTTATATGAACCATGTCTCCATGGTAAATAGATTTTGAGAATTCCCAAAGGACAGACAGTGTCACCAACAGCAGAGAGTAGAGCCTCTGGCTGCCTCGTGTTTGAAAGCGTTAAAAATAAAGACAACATTGACATTTGGGGTTGTAATGTGACGGAATTACAGTCTTTTAAAGGCAAGAACCACTTATCTACACTACATGTAATATTCAGTGTTTTGTTCACTTGTCTAATTGGATTAAAATATTTAGCTCCCTTTAAAATCTCGATTGTGAATTTATATTGCAAAATGTACTGTCTGACTCAGGAAGCACTAAGTGGAGCGCGTCTATCTGAAGCAATATAAAATTCAACTTAGTTTTCTTCCATGATTCTTATTCAGAAAGTATTCAGTCTTGGACAAAGTGAACTGTTAGCAGAACAGCAAGTCTGGCTTAAATGAAGTCCTGTGTGCTTTTCAATATTAATCACAACGCAGGGCACTCAGTTAAAACAAAAAACAAAACAGGAAGTTAACCTATGCTGCCGAGTGATGCAAGCAAGTTTCTCTGAGGGTCACAGGAGCCTTCTGGTAGAAGCGCAACACCCGGGGTCTTATGTCAGGCCCGAAAAACACCCAGGCAGCAGGGAGTTAATGACATTTTAGCTGCATATGTTCAAGTTTGTTTAAAAAAATATGCAAGTCACTTTGGTTGACAGTGTCTTGTACACAGTTTTGAAAGAATCAGGGCAAACTTTAACAGAGTCAGTTTTTATTTGAAAAATATTTT